CCCGCGGTGGTGCGGACAGTTTCCGTGGGGGCATACCCCACCACGAAAGTTACTCCGCAGGTGCGGCCAATTTGTAGACGCACCTTCATCAGCCTCGGGCTAATGCACTCCACCGTCCTACCTTCCTCGCCCACACTCTCCCACATGGCCTCCTTGATCGCTATGCCCACACCGTGTACGCCCCTCTTGTCCTTGGTGCCAGCACGGGCGCCACTCCAGATGATCACGTACCCGTCGTGTGCAATTGAACCCTGCCCCTCTCGTCAGGTCTCTTGAAGTCCTATCACATCACAGCCGGTCGCGGAACAAATCTGCATGACCGTCATCACGTTGTGACCGATGGGGTTCCTACCGCTGTAGGCGAGCGAGCGTACGTTGAATGTGCCGAACGATAGGTCGCCCTCTCGTGCCTTCTTCTTCGCAGCCGCCTTGACTGCGGTCTCGCGTCCCTCTCGGTCCACCTCGCGTTGCGGGTGTGCTTTCTTCCGTATTTTCCGAGCGGCGAATTTCCTCGCAGCAATCCATCTCTGCAGAGCTCGGTTCTTGCCTGTATTGTTTTGACGAGCAGGGTGCAGCACTCCCTCCCCTCGTACTCCCTTTTCCCGCGAGCGGTGCTTACTGACGCGGTGTTTACGAATCTCTCTACTCCTCCAGCTTCGTGGGCCACGCTTTCCGCGACGATGGTTGCCAGGTGCAGTTTGCCGCTTTGCATTACTGCCGCGGGAATAGTGTCCACATACACCTCTCGCCACTACCACCGTCTGTGCATCCTCACCGCCACGCTGAGCCAGCGCCGCGGTGAGTTGCACCGTGGGACACCACCCGCCTACTATCTGTTGTGGCCTGGTTCTGTCAGGGTGGGTCTTATCAAAAAAAGCGTCCACGAGACACTTTCATCCTGGCTCAAGTTGTCGACGTGGCATCATCGAATATGCACCGGGGGTGCACCGTGGAAGTACCAACAAACATGCTGCCGCGGAAGCCTTGCTTGACCTACGCGCCGGCGGCCTGCTGCCGGCGACGACGGCGGCCGAAGCGGGTGCCGCAACGGGTGCTTCGGCGTACGCACGCATCGAAGGCTCTCAAGGTAGTCGAGGCCTCTGTGCCGGAACAAGACGTTTTGCATGGCTCGGCGCGCTGGCTAGCTTAAGCCGTACAACAGGCTGGCGCTAGGCTAGAGAGCACCAAACTCAGGACAAGAAAAATATTCGGCAGGACGATTTCGCGCCCGCCGGTTTCGCTTCCCATGTCCCCCTCTACCCCCCTGCCCTCCGCTCCCGAACGAGCACATCAGACACATCACGACAAAGCCGTAACGACAAAAACGAAACACATGATGAGTATTAGCATCAGCAGGAGGCGTCAGCCCCCCTTCCTCTCACTTGTCAGCGCTGACCACATGTCCCAGCCTGCTAGCCCCGTCTAACACCATCGCCATCAGATCCAACGCGCTCCCCATGCAGCCTGCCAGCACCCCATAGAGAGTCGCGCGCACGCTGTTGCTGCTACCGCCGTCGCCACCGCCGCCGCTACCGCCCGAGCGGGGCAGAGCAAGGCAAAGCGCGGCAGCCGCCGGCGCGACGAGGGCTATCGATCGATCTCGCGGAGCGTCAGCCGCCACGTCTCTGGTTGAGCGTAACGGGTAACGGTAGGGTTGAGGCTGAAATACGGGGGGAGATAGGGATGCTGTGAGAGTAACGAGTAAGCACGGGCAGTTGGAATGATGGAGTGGTTGCTGTGGGTGGGGAGTAAGGGTGCCGAGAATAAAACTCACTTCTCCCAAAAACAAGACTATGAAGATCAAGATCAAGACTAATGAGCAATGAGCCCAAGCGGACAGGTCATGAGCTGGGAGCATGCGCATCTCCCGTGCTTCGAAACGACGCAGATACAAACACGTGTTCCGTACCAACATGGCAAGGCAAGGAGGCACATATCTCCACCAATGGCCAAACAATAGTACCCGTAGCCTCAGCAGAGACTGAAAAGTCAATGCGTGCTCCCCCCGCGTCCCTCCACCGTTTCCCTCGAGTACGATCAATCAATTGTACCTCGGTCGAATCGCGGCAGCCTTGACCAGCATCTCGGCGGCGACGGCGGCCATCTTCGCGTCCGCCGGGGCCACCCCTAGCGCAATGCCTAGCAAGACCCTCCACGGTGCTAGAGCCAGGACGTCGTCCTCGTCCCACCGCACGGAGGAAGACTCTCCGCCAGGTAGTGATGGAGGGCTGGCAAACAGGGCGGAGGACGGGGGGGGGCTCAAGGGCTGCATGTTTCTCTGGAAGTGAAGGAGAGTGCGAGGTGCGAGGAGGAGGGAGGGCCTGCAGGGCATTCAAGCGATCGCTAACATCGGGGTGTTGGCGGTGGTGTCAACACCCCGCGGTGGGAACGTATCAGGGGAAGAGGGATGTTGCTCTCTATTGAACACATAGTGCAGCAACACCTGTAGTTTTTCCATAGGATAGGATGACACACACGTGTTGACCGCCCCTCTCCGCCCCCCCCGGCAGGAAATAGTGCCATGGAGATACGAACACAACAGCATTCCATCCAAGAGTCGGCGACCTATTCCCTTCTTCAAAGTGATTTGTTGGTGTGTATTTTTTCTGCCTGCCGCTTACCTGTACTTGGCCTTTCGAAGGTTGTTGGCGAGCTTATTCCGCTTGAGACCCTTCGGCACTCGAAGGACATGCTCCTGACTTAACTGGAATGCCCATACCACCCGCGCGCAAGCCAAACGAAAGCGAAAGGGGGCAGGCAGAGAGCGGGGGGAAGGAGGGTCATACCGCGTATGAGCCATCAGATCTGCGTAGATACCGCTTCTGCGGTCGTTCAACTTTTTCTCTCTTTCTTGTTATTTTTTAGTCAAGTAACCGTGAACGATTGGATTGGCTCCGTAAGCAAACCAAACGGTTCTCGCGGAAACAAAGCTACGTCTTAGGTTCAGTCAATAGGGGCAGCCGGGGGGTGGAGGCAGGAAGGAGGGAGGGGGGGAGTGAGAGGGAGCGACCGTTCTCACGGAATGAAAAGGCGACCAAGGTCTGACCACGCCAATCCATCGCGCGGAAAACCTTAAAAAAAAAAACACACACACACATAGAAACATTTTGTGTTTCCCGCCGCACTGAGACTGACGTCTTTTCATTGGTCAGCCG